CACAAAGGGTGGGGAAAAAAATTCAGAATCCTACACGTCAATCTGGTGAGTGCCCTCACTTTGACACAGTGTGCCCCCTCCCCGACCCCCCACCCCCGCCTTGAAAAATCCTGGCTACGCACCTGAAAAAAGTACCAGTGAAAATTCCCCTCTCTCAGGGGTAAGAAACCTCATATGTAAAACATGGAGAGTTTTAGTACTAACACAAAAAATATTTGAAGCAAAAGCTCTTTCCCTTCAATACGCACAAGTATAGACTGAAAGTATGAATGGCCTGTATAAAAAGATGAAAACATAGTGTCACTTACTCTTCCTTGTTTGACTACTTTCTGACATGATTTCCATTGGACTCCAGACAAAGACCTCTACTCCCAGTGACTTCTGGATATTTGCGAGATGGCAGATGGTTCATTTCCAGACTCTGGTCCTTGAAGATGGCAACTGTGATAATAACTTAATTATTCGCTACCGCGGAGACATGGCGAACAATCAAAATCCTAACTCAGGGCACAGACCTCACAATCAAATTCCTTGGGTAGCCCCCTTTGCTTTCAGGCTCAACACTGATTAAATCAAGTTTCTTTTGATTTAGAATTTTTCACAGGTGGATGGTCATTTAGATGTTGCAGAAAGTGAGATTTATTGTCCATTTGTAAATCACAGCAAGATTGCAGACCAGAAAGTTGTTTCTTCATTCTTGTCGTCTCCTCTCTCAGTTCAGTATGCAAATAGAATACAACGCAATGGTGACAGAATTTACCTTGACAAGTATTACAGTGTAACATCAATTCTCAAGCACACCAGGCCAGCTAGTGAATACTTTGCATTGAAGAACTGGAAAAAGTCTCAGATTTCTGAGCTAGGAGAAGAACAGTTTAAGAAGAACAAAAAAAATACTTTCAATAGAGGAATTCTATTTCACCATGTAAGGAAATGAGTTTATTTATAACATACTGTTAGTAACAACTAAAACTAATAGCTTTCAAACATGTACCTGATATTATTCAACAATATAAAACGTTTATGTTTAAAATAATATTTTTACAACTTTTTATGGACGCTAGTCCATCACAGGGTTAACCCCATCATTCAGTTCGCCAGTACCCATTTATACACCCGGGTGGAAAGAAGCACAGTGAGAGTGAAGTGTCTTGTCCAAGAACAGAACAAAAATTATGTCCCTGGCCAGGCCTCGAACCCGGACCACTTGATCTGGAGACAAGTGTTCTAACCATGAGGCCAACGCACCTCCCACCTCCCACTGATGTTGTATTAATGTTTGTTAGTGTATGTCTTTTTAAGAAAATAGTGAAATCCAAGATGGCAGATCCAAGATGGCAGGTCAAATGAGGTTGTTTGTTTTCATATGACACCATAACCAAAAAAAAGGTGTCATCTTATAGAGCAAGCTCAGAGCTATTTGCTCAATGGACGTTTATTTCACTGTGCTTTAACAGAACAAAAACCCAAGGGGAGGGGCTCCATCCATCTGTCCAGCCACTTGTTATACGGTGGGGGTATGAGTTTGCTTGTACATCCGAGGGTTGAAATTATACTAACTATATGTTAATGATCGATCTTAGCAGGCATCAGGGAGTTAACACAAAGAGGATCTGGATGAGGATTAACAATATAACTAATGACAGACATTTTGTTCTTTTTTTAAAACAGGTTGTGCAGCTGTACTTTAAAAACAGCACAGTTCCATATGTAGAGGAAGGTTCGCCTGACTCGGGGTACTGGAAGAGTGTCAGTCATGTGTTAAAAGACATCACAAATGTTGTAGCAGTTGAGAGTGCTGTGGTGCATCCATTGTTGGGATATGCAGGGACACTGGATCTTATTGCAGAATATAAGGGAAAACTAAGTGTGATTGATTGGAAGACTTCTGCAAAACACAAAACTAATCTCAAGGACTGCTACTCATATCCTCAACAAATTGTCGCTTATGCGGGCGCTGTGAATTTTGATGACAACTACCCTTTTCAGGTCTGATGCATCTCAAATTGACTCAGTGTGAATGTAATGTTGCAAGTCAACTTAACTTGACATATAATTGACATATATACAGTAATTCATGGAGTGGTCAGGTACATGTAGCTGCTCACCTCTAAACAATTTGGTTTGAGTTAAATCCATTTACATGTAGGAGTCATTACATTTGTTGTTTGTTCTTGCCCTTTCCCGTTTGAAGTTTTTCTTCTGGTTCTCTAGTTGCCCTCTCTCCTCAAAACTTAAGAAACAATTATCCTGACTTAACTGTGTTCTGGCCACAGGTTCATGAAATGTGAATTATCTCCCTTCCTATTCTGATTTTATGTGCGTTTAGTAAATTTTATTAGCTTCTCAGGCAATAGTATTAATTAAAAACAATTTTAATTAATTTTGTTTTGGAGAGACATGCCACTAGGATAGTTTTTCTTTCCACATTCTAATTTGCCCATAATTTTCTAAACAACAGTCCGCGCAAAATTTATTTGTTCCAAAACTGAGGAAAAACGACTCTTAAATAAGATACTAACTAACAGAAATAACTAGGTGAGAGCTAGAACAGCTAGGCACATATGTATAAAATTAAACAAATTAAACAATAGTCCTTGTACGTAAATAGACCACTGTAGCTCAGTGGTCAGAGTGTGTGATCGCTGTGCGTGATAAACTGAGTAGTTACCAGTAAGTCCTAAGTTTATTAACTGTTATTTGCAGGTCTGTGATGGAGTGATAGTTATCGCATATGAAAATGGTGATCCGGCAGATATCCATCATATGTCACAGGAAATGTGTGAAAAGTACTGGCTAGAATGGCTGATGCGACTTCAACAATACCGAAGAACATTCCCCCAACATATTACAACAGATGCTGATCTAGAAGTAAACAAAACTGGACAAGAAATGTATCAAGGCCACAAAATTGAAAAAGTGACTGAATTCGTAAGAGCAAAATCTGTGAATAACATTGGGGTACCAGTGGCCAGTCTTGGTAGGGTCATCAAAGATGAAGACATGTTGGAGGAGGAGAAGGAGGGAGACCCTTCATCTAAAGAAAGGTTTCATAGTTTGCATGCCTGGCTTGCAGCATTCAAATCTCCAGATGCATGGAAAAAACTGTGGAGAGATATTCTTCAGCTTGTTCGCTTTGGGAGAAAAGCTCAATAACCTTGATTGAATTCTGTTTTAAATTTGTGAAGTGTATTTTTGCTGGTTATTATCTAAGTGTCTGTTATCTTTATCCAATGGAAATTTTTGTATTGATCAAAGGACAACTGAATAAAAGAAAGAAACCATTTTGATTGTTTCAGAGGCAAGAGCTAGTACTAACCGTTAAGCTGTCAGCTGTTTCTTTACCCAATTGAACATATTAGACATTCTCGGCACCCAGGGGCAGTTAGTTGGGGCGGGAATAAATACATCCGGCAGAAACTGAAGGATTCTCCTACCCCAACTAACTGCCCTGGGTCTCTAAAGATGGGACACTTGTCGTCACACTTAGGGGTATAAAGTAAGGACTCTGATCTCACTTAGGGTGCTCATTACGAAATGTCACTACTTTCAGCTGTCAAAGTATCTTTTAGAGCGCATGTGAAGGAATAATATGAAAAAAAATGCTCTTGTTTCCATTTTTAGGCTCGATTTCCACTGGTCTCTTGAGTCTGGCTAGATAAAAGATGCAGGGTTGGTATCCAGGGTACGGGCTCCCACAGTCTGTGAAAAACATGAGGTGTGGAAAACTCAGGGTCTGCATGGGTGGAAAACACGGGGTGTTGGAAACACGGGGTCTGGGTGGAAAACACTGGGTCTAGTGGAAAACACGGGGCCTGGTGGAAAACACGAGGTCCGGTGGAAAACACGCAGTCTAAGTGGAAAAGACAGGTCTTAGTGGAAAACACAGAGTCTGGTGAAAAAAAAGTGCAATTACATTGGTTTCTTATGTGACATGTAACACAATTATAATAATACAAAGGGGAGGGAGTTCAAACAAGAAAAAGGAACTGAAGCTCTGTTATATACAAAATTTTGTTTAACAGCAGTTAATGGTCACTGCTGGGTAGTTGGCTTTTGAATGTGACTTAATTCCAGTCACTGATTATTTATTGTTGTGATTTTGCCAGAATTTTTCTGTTCCTCACTTCCTTGTCCTGAAGGTTTCTGATTTGTGCATCTTTCCTTTTAATCTCCTCTCGTGCAGTAAGGTATAAACTTGAAATATTCTTCTTAAGCACAAAGTTTTCATCCTTTAGTTTTTGAGTCTGAAATTGAAAAAAGTACAATCTGGTTTAATTTTACAAACCTGGAGAGGTTGCAGCTGAAATTATCTTCAGCTAGGACTAGCAGTGGAGCTACCCAACAGTNGATTTCGTCGGGGCACAGAAAATCGAGGATTTCACGGAATCCAAAAATTTTTTCGCAGAACTATTTCAAATAACAAGTACATTCGTTTTAGCGAAAAAGAATTTTTGGGGTTAGGTGCACTTTAACATGTAGTGAAAATGTGTAAACACGTAACCGGAAGGCCACAAAACCTACTAGAGTAAGGGGATTAAACTGGTTATTGTTGAGTTATGGCAGGCGAATCATGATTTTAATTTAAAACGAGGTCCACACGCTGCACTGAAATAGGCTTCGCTGGAATCGCTGTAATCAAGTCACTGAAGAGAACTTAAGCTTAACAAATTCAATAATATTATAGAAAACCAGCCATTGGTTTTTACCTCAGGATAAGTCATTTCTTGGTTGAGGTCCACAGCTAGGAGGTCCCCATATAAATCAACATCCAAAGAATCTAAATAGCATCACGAAAAATTATAGTATACACGAACATGTTAAAATCATTTCCAGACGTCATCCGAGGCAATCCACTGCCAAAGGGGTGTCTGGAAAACCCGAATAGCGAATAACGAATAGTCGCGAAAAGCGAACAGCGAATAGTCCCAAATAGCGAATAGCGAATAGTACGAATAGTCTCGAATAGTGCGAATAGTGGCGAACAGTCTCGAATAGTGGCGAATAGTGGCGAATAGTGGCAAATCGAAGCAAATAGGGTACCCAGCATCTCGCAGTCAAACTCGCAGCAACGTAGGACGAGATTTTCCCTTATCAAGACCAAAGGTGTTTCTAAACGTAATTTCTTCTGTTTTAACCGCTCCAAAAGCGTAAATACGTCTTAATTAGGTTATCCTTGTGTTTTCTGTTTTCATAATGTTGGCGATGGACGGCCCGAGCCTGAGTCCGGAGAAGGAAAGGTAACAAATTCACTGAAATTCTGTTGCTTATTTGGATAATTAATTAACGCAGGATATTAGACCTAAAGCGGTGAGTATTGACGACTACATCGTCACTATTCGCCACTTTTCGCGACTGTTCGTCACTTTTCGGTACTATTCGAGACTATTCGCACTTTTCGTGACTATTCGCTATTCGCTATTCGGGTTTTCCAGTCACCCCTGCCAAAGTCGTCTAAGTTAATTATGCTTCATTCTGGGATCATTTAACGACAGTTAATTTCAAAACACGGAATAAGGTTCACCTTCATCCTTGAGAAGGAAAGACGAATTTCTGTTACGATCTGGCGCCTCTGTTTCATCCATGTGTTCTTCGTTTCCTTCCATCATGAAGAAACACAGCAAAAAACGTCAGGCGTTGATTCGGTCAACCGAGTAAAACTGGGTTGAGTAGCCCGCTTACCGGGTGCCTGGATAAGCAAGCTCGACGTAAAGAGTTGTATATTTTTTCGATGTCTTTAATTTATATCTCAAAATGCTTCTCCTGACCTATAGATGAATTAAGAAACCTCTGTAGGGATGCTGCCGATAGAAAACTTTACAACTTGACCACTCAGGGAAGCGCTTGGCTGAGAAACCAATGTAGCCTAAGCCAGCGACCTCAGACAGTCTGAGTTCCAAGAAAAGACTGGCGCGATGTGATTTACATTCGATCTACTTCCTTGGCAGCAAAACGCTATGCACATGTACAACGGAGCATATTTTTATGATGTTTCGCTTACAGACGGGGTCCAGCTCCAAGACTTGAAGGCAGGAGGGATGAATTTGGATAAACTGGCCTACAACTTGCGTTTCTCGTGCGATAGGCTTCCACGATCGAATCCCTGGTCGCGATCAAGTTTCGACGGAGATTTTATTTTGATTGCCGAATTCTCCGAAAATGAAGGACCTAAGCCTGTGGTGAGTCAGATCTGTGTAAGCTTACTTTTATAATACATTTATATTCACAAAAGTAGCGAAAGATGATCACGGAGACAATCAAGGATGGAACATTTGATCCTTGTTTTTGTCGCGTGACTGGTCTGAATACAAGCTTAATAATTTTAAGTAGTTAATGCGTGCTTTGTTTGTTTGTATAGTCCTCAGTTATATCATACAAATCACAGAGTATAACTTGAGCATTAGTAAAAGGTTTTAAAAGCAATGCATTGAACAGAAGCATGAAAAACTTAGAAATTGTTGTTGAAACTCTGACACAGGCTAGGCAGAATGTAGACTTTGTACATATAGCCATAAAAAACGCCATAAGGATGATTTGTAAAAAAGTTACGCGACCCATATGAAAACATATCACCAAATCAGTAAAAATAGCAGAGTGCTTCGATTGATACAGGGCTGGGGTGGAAAAACTGAGCCAGTCGTAGCAAGGTAGCTTTTGTAGAGGTTGCAGTTAATTGATAGAGGTTGGGCTAAAATGATCTTCCATGTAACAGGTATTTACGGTAAATTATATGTGGTTACCAGTCATTGAGCCCCCGAATCGATTAGCCGTTAGCCGGTTAGCCCCCCAATCAGGAGTTCATAAGCCCACATTTTCATGCTTTAAGAGAGAGAAATAGACCATGTTCTCGCCTTCTGGTTGGGGCTAATTGACTTGTGGCTGGGGGCTACTAGCTAGCTGGGGGCTAAACAACCAGTTACCATTTATGTGAGTCTCTTGTTCCTTGTTGTGGTGGACAAAGAGGTGGAGAGTTGGGGGACAGAGGACTTAGGTTAGTTTTGTTTGCTCATTCACTCCTCTTACTTCTTTGCCCTTTCTTTCTACTATATGGGAACCTGTGTACATTTATGAACAAGATAGATTTGGGTCTTGATTACTGCCATTTTAAAATGCCAGTGAACAAATGTCAAATCAATTATTCACTCTTTGCAAGAGAAATGTCTGAAATGTAAGAGAAAATATCCACACTGATTAATGGCAGATCCTGAGCTCAATTGGGACTCGGGAGCAAGGGGGATTGACATTGTTCTTGCTCAAGTGAAGGAGGGAGGGGGGCGGGACAACTTTTGTCCCTTAAGGCCATACATGTACATTTATATATAATATTTTCAGCAATAACATACCCTCCTTCCCCACTCCCTAGAGTCCAGACCTGTCATTGCTGATGAAGTCACAGCTAGCTAGAGAGGTCTTTGCAGTGTGTCATGCTTAGTGGGGCTAAGTGAAATCTTCGCAGACAAATGAAATGAAACTTATTTTCTTTTATCTGATCTTCTAACCCATCCAGATGACAATTCCTAAGAATGCTGGTGGAAATTTTGACATCAATGCATTTTCTGTTCATGTAATGTCAGTGGATTACACTCAAGCAAGGTATTGATAAATTAGTACTAACAGTGGACTGAAAATTTGACCGTGTTTACAGGGTGGCCGACTATTAATGGGGTAGGGTTAAATTTCATCACTGGTCTATTTTCAGTGATGGTTTGACAGATATAATTGTTCTTTAATTAGCATTTGAATTACAGATATCACTATTCATTTCAAAACAAATTGAAAGTTCAATCAGTACATATTTCATGTATATTAATCGTGGAAAGATGAACATAACTGGTTTGAGTGGCTGGGCTAAAATGATAAAGGATTACACAGGTTGGGATTTTACAGGAATGTGGTGGTTGGCTGCATTAACAGGGCGGTCAAGTTACCACGTAAAGGGTTTTCTTATAAGAAAATGTACATGTTGGGGCGTTTGGTTGTGACAAAAAAGACTGTTTTTGTATCAATGGTAAGGTAAGGTAATATTTCATTATTTATTTCAGAGGCACTAATTTTTCCATTGTTGAAGATACTCAACTGCTTTTAACAGAGAGAAAAGATGGAATTTATGCTTATGTAAGTTACTTGTGACGTTAATTTATTGCTCCAATTGGTATTGGTTATGTCCTATACTAAAACATATTGTAGAAACGTGAATGTTGTATTCAAGTATTAGTATATAGGTGACACAATTTCGAGTGCAATTTGGAACAAAGAATTAAGCAAATTCAAGTAAATTATTTCAGGCTAAAAATTGCACAAGCCTGGATGCATGATAGTATGAGTATAATTTGTACCCTGAAAAATTTACTTGTAAGTACTTGATAATTTTTATTCCAATTTATTAAATCCATTTTGAAATCACTGGTTATCCTTGCAATCTGATTGGCTCTCAGTGGTGCGATTTATTCATGAATCACACTATTTTTTGCTCTAAATCGCATCTTTTTCTCAGCCAATGAAAATGGGCCAGTAAAACAAAACAACCAATCAGATTTCAAGATTAGTTTAAAGTAATCAATGAAATTTCGGGAAAATGAAAGGCAAAAAGCCACTGTGTGGAGAATTTTGCAAATACTATTGCCAAAACTTTGTTGTTATTGTAGCTTTTTTTCCAAAAAAAATTGACG